CCTGTGGCCTCGCAGATATTGTTGGTTTTCAGTTCCCATTAAACACAGCCAATAGTCATAAATGATGGTAGTAGTAGTACATCAGCATCTGAAAAGCATCATGTTGCCTTTCCTTGAATTAGACCAATACATTGCAGCAGGTGTCAACTGGAGGGCAACACCTTTGTTACCTCTGGATTAAGCTTGCTTTTATCATGCAGACCTCATCCAGTAGCGAATAATTCATCCACATTTTAATCAATCAACTTGATAAGCCTATTTTCCTGCCAAATGAGAAAGAGAATCTTTCCCACCACCTGCTTCCTAGGACTAATAATCCGCTGTGGAAATGTAGTGAAGACACTCTTAACCCCCCCCCCTTTAGTTTGATCTTATAGATAACCAGATTAGGTAAAGGTAAAGGGACCCCTGACCATTAGGTCCAGTCGTGACCGACTCTGGGGTTGCGGCACTCATCTCGCTTTATTGGCCGAGGGAGCCGGCGTTTGCCTGCAGACAGCTTCCGGGTCATGTGATCAGCATGACTAAGCCACTTCTGGCGAACCAGAGCAGCACACGGAAATGCCGTTTACCTTCCCGCTGGAGCAATACCTATTTATCTACTTGCACTTTGACGTGCTTTCGAACTGCTAGGTTGGCAGGAGCAGGGACCGAGCAATGGGAGCTCACCCCGTCACGGGGATTCGAACCACCAGCCTTCTGATTGACAAGTTCTAGGCTCTGTGGTTTAACCCACAGCGCCACCCGCGTCCCTGATAACCAGATTATATATACAACATTGTCTATATACAATATGGTATGCAAAGTTGTAGTAGGAAAGGGGCAATCAAAATGATCAAGGGAATGAGGAAAGGCTGCAGCATTCAGGACTTACTAGTTTAGAGAAATGGTGAGTGAGATGTGACATGATAGAAATTTATGTAATTGTGCATACCATGGAAAAAGTGGGTAAAGACAAGTTTTTCTCCCTCTTAACACTAGAACTCATATGCCTCTATGAGTATGAATGTCGGAAGATTCACAACAGATAAAAGACAGTGCATAGTTAAAGCATGGAACTCACTCCCACAGGAGGTCCAAACCTGCATAGTTTTACTTCCGGGGTGGCGCCATCGGCAATGGTGGACTCCCTCTGAACTGGAGGGACCAGCTCCACGGGAATCAGGTCTTTTCCGCTACGGCGAAGCGGGGACCCATTCAAAAATCACAGGCGGATGAAGCCTGTGACCATGGGACTCAGCGGGCACCTTTAGCGCCCCCCCAACCCGCAAAGGAACCCACTAACGGGCTCCGGAGCGAAGAGGGGGAAGTGGCGCGGTGCTGAGAGTCAACTGCTTCTTCCATGGAGCAAAGCCACACGCCATTGTCGAAGAGCGCTGCCTTTTTCCTGGGACAATTTGGCTTTTAAAACAACCACCCGTGAGTACTTAAGTTTCGGACAATTGGACTCTAAATAAGGACTTGTGAGCAGAAAGGAAAACTGGACTTAAAAGTTTAATTTAATTTGGCACTGAAACGGGAAGGTCTAAACAGGAAGTCAGCCTTCCGTTTCTTTGTAGATAGATTAAAGCAAAGACACAGCAAACTAAAGTTCTGAAAATCGCTTCTAAAGGATTAACTTTCATCATTTAAAATTGTGGAACCCCTTTCGGAAGCAGGAGAAGAGGGGGGATTTTTTCTGGACTGTTTAAACCTGCAGAAGTGAGTGTAAAGTAAAGTAACTTTCCACCGTCTTGATCCTGGAGCGGGGTGTCAGGACTGACGTTCTTTGAAGCTCATTGACCAGAGACAAACGTTTTTGACAGATAGCTAAAGGAAGAGATACATAGTGATTCCATTGTTCTCCTTCGCATTTTAAAGGAACAAATATTGACAAAATATCTGAAAAAGGAAACTTTGTTGTTAGATTTGTTTTTAAAAGAAAAGAACAAGCAGAAGTTTTTCCCCTAGAGGGAGCCTGTGAAACTGTAACCAATTTTGAATCGGGAAGCTCGTAGCTGTTACAGATTACGATCGTGGGAATAGACTTCTGACCTTGCAGGACAATGTATTCAGAAGCTCTGTTGAGTGCTTTCTGTAAAACAAGTGCCCTACTGGAACAGCTACATGAGAAGACGGATTTTATGACTGATGCGATTAGAAATTTTGGACAGGCAGTGGGATATTATATAGAGCCCACCCAGGAATTAGATCAGGAGTGTGCCCTGACAGAACAGATGAGGGAAGAGGATGTTGCTGAATCTTGGGCGCCAGGGATGGAGGGAGCTGCAGCCCAGCAGGAACATGAATTCTTGGATTTGACAAATGAACTTGGAAAAAGCCAGATTTGGAAAGATAAAGTTTGGTTTGGTTTGGAAATGGGGGGTTGGATAGACCCTCCTATGCAGGGAGGTTTGGACTTTTCAAGTCTGGTAATGGGCCATGAGATGTTTGGGGTTGTGGGGGCTCTCAATTTTGGAGGGTTTTTGAAACATGTTCTTAAATACCACATGGAACTTAGTGGGGACTATAGAAAAGGGGCTGATTTGTCGAGAAGGGTCAAAAGCATTGTCAAGCTGGAGTTCCCAAGAGTGAAAGAAGTAGGAGATAAAGGAAAATATAGCTATAAATATGAAGAAGAGCTGTGGAAGGGACATGGAAGAGACTTAAGGGCCTCGGACATAAGGTTACCAGGTTAATGTGCTAGATTGATGGGATAGAAAGGACTGATAAAACCCGGGTCCAGGAGGAAGAGACGCTGGATGAAGATTGGATTGTTTTATAAAATTGATGAATGTTAGAAAAATGTTGGAACGAAATTATTTGGCTTTAGCAAAAATGTTTAAAGAATTATGTAAGAATATTATGGTTATGAGAAATTGGTAAAAATAAGATTTAAGTTTTAAGTTTTAAGGTTTTCATAGTAAGATAAGATTAAAATAGATTAAGGTAAAGTAATGACAGAATATTATGAAATATGGAAAGGATTTGCTGTGACAGTTAATAATCAGGATACAAAAAAAGGGAGGAGGAGGAGGTCAAGAAGGTAATGACAGTTAAAGATATGAGAATATTGGATTTGTTTTTAAATGTTTGTGGTATATTTTTGTTTTTTAATTGTGTCGTGTTATATTTTGATTTTGATTTTTATTAATTTGTATTGTTTGACTGTGGTTTGTCTTTTCTTTGTTTTTTCTTTCTTTTTTTCTTTTTTATTCTCTTTTGTAATTTTAACATTTTCAATAAATATCATTTTTTAAAAAACAAACCTGCATAGCTTTAAAAGAGATTTGACAAATCCAGAGTATTGATAAGGCTATTGATTATGGCTATGTTCTGCCTCCACTGTCAGAGGTCATAATGCTTCTGAATATCAGTTACTGAAAGCCACAGTGGTGGGTGGGTGTGCTCTTGTGAGCAGGTCCTGCTTGCAGGTTTCCCATAGACATCTGGTTGGCTCCTGTGAGAACAGGATGCTCCAACAAGGCTCTTCTCATGTTCTTGTGCTCTTGTGCTAATATAGGATTGGACCCTCTACTAAAGTATTGTCTATACTAGTTGCCAGTGTGTCTATACAGGGTATCAGGCAGGATTATTTCCTGGTACTACCTGGAGATGTTAGAAATTGAACATGTGACCTTTTGCATACAATACATGTACAGGGTGATTCCTTTAAAAGAGGCCCCGTGGATACAGAGTACACATGTTCCACGGGGCCTCTTTTAAAGACTCGCCCTGTACATGGAGCTATAGTTCTTCCTCTCAGTTGTGTGTGAACTCATCCTGAAGTCGGGCACCCATGCTTTAAATTACTTCTCTGCCTACCTATGCAGATGTTGAACCATAATTTCATCAATCAGTTATGAGAGCTTATCGGATATTCTGAGAGCATCTGATTCTGTCAAATAGACCTCAGCATGTTCTGGATGGGAGGCCAATAGAAATCACATAGAGGCTGAAATGAAACATTAAAAGTGTTATGTGGCTACTGCCAAAAGCAGCTCTGTGTCCTCTGACACCCCCTTCCCAAGCGATAACATCTAGTGTGTTGTGCTGAAAGATTCTCCTGCATTTTTTTTAACCATTCTCAATTAATGAGAAAATAAATTCCATTCAGTAATTACCAGAGAGGAGAGAAAAATCTGACAGCATTATGGATAGGACACAGGTTATTAATTGTGTTTAGTTTATATGTGGCTTGGCCAAGAGGTTCTGTGATTGCCTTTTCCTTCGTTCTACAAATCATCTCACCTGTATGCTACATTATGCAGCCTTCCTAGGTGCCCATGCTTGTTCTTAATCTCTCAAATCAATGCTTTCCATATCAGAAGCATGGGGTGCCAAGGTCTACACTCTGCAGCCTTCCAAGGTGTGATTGCTTCAGTTAAATCTCCCCTATTAAGCTTTTTTTCATATCAGGACGTATGGGGAACTGCAAAGGTTTGAAGGGTGGATGCCAAATAATGATTTCCTCTTCGGGAGAAATCTTCCTATTGAGATCAAGCAGGCGCCTTCACTTTAATCTTTTCAGTGCCTGCTAAAAACATTCATGCTTAAAGAAGCCTACCCAGATACTTAGCAAGTTGAGGTGATTTTAATCTGTTTTAGTGTTTTATCTTTGGGGTGTTTTAAAGTAGGGTTGTGATTGTTTTCTTGATCTCACAGCTTTATCTTTCATAAACTGTTTTGAGGGTTGTTTTTACAATCAAGCAGTGTATAAATTTTATGAAATAAATAAGTAAACCGCCTTCCCTCTTCTTCCAGGGGAGGATGGGTGTCGCAAATTCCTCACCCCTGAAAGGAGGGGAGCTGCATCCCACATCCTACCCCCTGATCTTAGCTAAAAGGCCGAGAAGTGGTGGCTTCGGCTACATAAATAGGTAATATGTGTATCCACAGAAAACTTTCTGTGCTTAGGGACACAGGAAACTGCCTCATAGTCAAAACTTTGGTGCATCTCAGTATAATGATTTAGTGGTGGCTCTCCATGGTTTCAGAGAGGGGGCATTCCCAGGCATATGTGGAGATGCCCGGGATTAAAACTGGGACCTTTTGAATGCAAATCAGATGTTCTACCACTGAGCTACAACCCACCTAGATCACATGCTTTGGTTTACTGTGACTGGAATTCTAGGTGGCGGTGTGGTTAAACCACAGAGCCTAGGACTTGCCAATCAGAAGGTCGGTGGTTTGAATCCCCGTGACGGGGTGAGGTCCCATTGCTCAGTCCCTGCTCCTGCCAACCTAGCAGTTCGAAAGCCCATCAAAGTGCAAGTAGATAAATAGGTACCGCTCCGGCGGGAAGGTAAACGGTGTTTCCGTGCACTGCTCTGGTTCACCAGAAGCGGCTTAGTCATGCTGGCCACATGACCCAGAAGTTGTACGCTGGTTCCCTCAGCCAATAAAGCGAGATGAGTGCCGCAACCCCAGAGTCGGTCACGACTGGACCTAAAGGGCGTCCCTTTACCTTACTTTTAAGACCTCTTAAACTCACTGTGGTGAGATGTACTTCTGATATTCTGAGCAATACTGAATATGTTATTTGTTGGAAGGGGGATAATGAGAAGTGAAGCCACTGCTCAGGTGGAGGCCTAGAATCTCTTTCCAGCCTGGAAAGTTGGTTTATAAATATCACCGACTAATAAATGTGTTACTGATCATGTAAATACATATGAAGACACACCTTACTGCAACTTCTTCTTGAAAGCAGCTTGGTTGCTGGGGGGAGCCTGAAGTGCTTCATTTATAGCACACATTTTGCTTGCTTGCTTAAAGCATTGCTTTGAGAGCTGAAGAACCATGGACAGTTCCAAACCGTCCAGACACAAAGCGTTTAGTGCCGTTTGACTACAAAACTAAAACAATGAAATGAAACCACCCATAATATATAGAGAAAATAGGTTTGTTCATCTCTTATGCAACGTATTTGTTTTTCATTGCCCATTATGATAGGGTCTTATTAGAGGGCCATGTTTTATTTATCAGGGTGTTTCTGTGAGTCGGCTGAAGAATAAAGAGAAAGAAAGAAAGAAAGAAAGAAAGAAAGAAAGAAAGAAAGAAAGAAATCTCTTTCTTTCTATCGGCTCAGGGCATTTGCTGAATAACATGTTTAGTGTTCTGGAAAAAGAGGGGAGAGGAGCATGAGATATTCCTGTCAGAACAAGGGACTGCTTAAGGCAAAGGGATAGAATGAAGAAGGGGGAGGATATGAGAAAGTGGCTATAAGGGACTTCATTTTTATGTTAGCTTTTATTTTTACCCTCCTTCCTTCCTTCCTTTCTTGTGTGTGCGTAGGCTTTTATTCCCCCCTTTTTTATTCCCCCTTTTTGTGTTATAAATTAATTTGTGCTCTTCAGTGTAGGAGTGCTATCCGAGATCCTCAAGCTCATGATACATGGACTTTCCCTGTGCATGAAAGCAAGCCCTGTTTTGTAAGTCCAAGCATTTTCCTTATTTTTAGCCATTTAATAGGTGTGTGTGTTGGGTGGCGCAGGTTTGTTAGAGGGGTGTCTTGCTTTGGGAAGAGGTGTATTTTTGGTTGTAACACCCAGCCTTGTCTCAGTCCTGTGGGTGGGGTTCTTGCAGTAAGATTGCTATAGATTTCTCTCTCTCTCTCTCTCTCTCTCTCTCTCTCTTTCTCTCTCTGTCTCTTAAAGGAGCTTTTTCAAATGTGTGCACGTCTCACAATGCAACAGCTAATTACCTTCCGAGTTGAGAGCTGTTTGCCTGAATCACAGGAATTCTCTAGTGATCTGTTTCCATTTTAGTTCAATAGTAGCTTGGGAAAGAAATGAATCTTTATTTAAAGGGAAATATGTGCTATCAATTTAGTTGCAACCTTCCCAACACCAATTTTTTTTTTTAATACACCCACATAAAAACAACAAGAAATGGCACAGAATATATTTCTGTGTGAAATTATTATATTTCCCACTAACTCCAAATGTTCCCTCACTTGGTACAGATTGTAGCCTATTTTGCCTTCCCCTCCTCTCTTTTCTTATTCTTATTATTGGTTTTTTTAAGTTGGGTTCCCTCTGAATGTTTGAAAAGTTCTGCTTCTGGAAAGGAACCTTGAGAGGGAAGGGAAATGGAGGGGAATCCTGAAGAGTAATTTGCTGAGATTCAGCCTTTTTATGGAAGAATTAATAATTCAATGCATTTGTCAAATTCCATTTTGAATAACACCAGTATCTTTTGTTACATATTAGTAACATGTGGAAGGGAGGTGGGGAAAGAAATTTGACCTCAAGGACAAGTTTTGAGCATAAATGATTTAATTTGCAGATCACATCCAATTTTATTACATGAAGACTAACTAGATCTACTAATGAATAATTATTACTCCATAAAATAAAAGGGGGGGCAGAGACAGTTTGCGACAGTTGAATACTAATTCCAATGAGGGACATTACTCTCTCTTAAGTAAAAAAGTAAACATTACATTCCCCCTAGTGACTAATGGTGTTTGTTCATGTAACCTGACAGAATAGCCTCTTGTAATGGATTGTCCTTCTGACACGTTTTATAATCTTAAATGAAATTATATATCTCTATATCTGTATCTGTATCTGTATCTGTATCTATACAAACACAAACAGAGAGAGAGATGTTTTCTTCCCAGGACAGGAGAGAAAGGGAGGGAAAGGATTGTGCCACACCATGATCTTTATTCCACAAGATTCTGCTGTGGTTCCTAATCTAATTTTTCACAGCAGTTAATGATTTTACAAGCTTCTGTGAAATGCAGAAGGGGAGATAGGTGTGAAGTATATTATGGAAAATAAAAATAAAAAGATTTGGGAGATGTGTGTGCGCACAAATATTATTTCCTAGATATATGGTATACGTATATTCATTTCACCTCACCCTGAGTGATTTTTATAAGGGGGCTCTAGAAATTTAAATATACTTTCAACATTACATGGTATCTAAACAAGCGGTTTTAAAATTAGAATTAGTATTAAGAATAAGAAATGCTTTCCCCTTCGCTCCTGTGGCTTTCATACATCAGATTGTACTTCTGGTGCAATAGGACTCAGTATAAAATGTGAGTTCAAGCTTTCCTTTCAAGTCAGGCATGTAAAGTCCATCTGTGTGTGTGATGGGGGTGTATGTTTGTGTGTCCCTGTGTATGGTACATGTTTTGAAAAGGATGGCCAGAGAGATAGGCACAGATCAAAGCCATGTGTATCTTCTAGAGTATTTTAACTTTCTTTTGTGCTTCTATACTTTTAATGCATGTTTTTCTAAACGCGCGCACAGACACACACAGAGAGAGACTTTGTTTTCTCTCTGTTTGCCTGATTTCTTCGATGGGGGATTCCCTAACTGATTGTCAGGTGTGGGGCCTGAGGAAGGAAAGAAGAAAAAAAAACACTGGAGAGGAGGGGTGTCTGTGGTGAATCATAACAGCCTTTCTCGTCCCAGCTGGGCAGTGACATTAATTGCCCAAACCTCATGACTGTATATGATGCCTGTCTTTCTCCTTCTGCATCCTCTCCAGGGATTTTTAAAATGCAGTTATTTGAATTTTTGGTGAGTGGTACAGAGACCCTGCCCTGGTTAGGACCCATTTGACAAATGAGAGGAGCGGAGTAGCATCAGCCACACCAGAAGGAGTCTCTCTCTCTCTCTCTCTCTCTCTCTCTCTCTCTCTCCAAGGGAGCCAGGCTTTTAATGTGGAACAAACCCTTCCAACGGCGGTTGTCACTGAGGGGGAGTTTCAGCAGCTCAGCTTAGAAGCTGCCGGCTGCCTTCTCTCCTTTGCTTATTAAATCTCACCACCACCCCTTTTTTTTCTCTCCTTCCCACACCTCTCTGTTTTTGTTTCGTTCGAGTGAGCTGGGGGGGGGTGTTGTTTGGCAGCGTTGGGTGGGATTACCCTCCCAAACGAAAATTGTACCAAATGGCCTTGCCTTGACAATTGAACGTAGTGGGGCTTTAACACTGGGAGCTGGAGGTGAGGAGGCTGGCAAGGTTGCGTTGTTAAAAAGAAGGGGGGTAGAGAGAGAAAAAGAAACACCCTGAGAAGGGATGTTTTTGAGAGGTTGTGTGTCTTTTTGAGAGAGAAAAAACAAAAGCAAAAAAAAAAACCACACATCTGAGAGAAAGAGAGAGAGAGAGTGCTGGCAGTTGTGGTGTTGGGGGTGGCAGGTTTGGGGTGGGGGGGAGAGAAGAGAGAGAGAAATAAATAACCAAGCTTGCACCGGAGAGGCAGCAGCAACGTGCGTGTATGCAACCCCCTTCACTTGTCCTACGTCGGGTTCAGAGCAGCAACATGCAGCATCCTCTGACGGGGACGACCTGCGTTGCGCTGCCGAACGTCGGCATGTGTCCCCAGCTGTCCTGTGCCTTGACTTTTATGTATTTACAGCAGGTAAGTCGCAGCAACTTTTTTTTGTCTCTTCCAACTCTCTGTCCCCCACCCTTGCTTCTCTCCCCCCCCCCCACCACCACCACTCTCACCCGGGTTTGGTCATTCCCTCTTCTTGTCACTGTATTGTCTGTACCCCATGAAGTGGAAACAGCTTTCTGCCTGAATGGAATGTGTAATTGTCTCTTTCATGTGCCTGTGTGTGTTTGCCTGTGTACGAATGCATCCAAATAAGCAAAAGAAATTAATTCGTACGGGAAAGTCGCCTCTGCGCCTCCGTTTTCTTTAATGGTACAGCTTCAATGCATGTGATCTCAAATATTCTGAAGTTTTGAGGATGGTTCCCCCCCTCCCCCACCTCTGTGGTTTTGGTTTTGTATTTGCTCTGGGAACAATATGCATGCAAGGTTTAGATAGATGATAGATAGATAGATAGATAGATAGATAGATAGATAGATAGATGGTAGATTTTAGCCACACAAAATTATGTTTATTATTATTATTATTTAAAATCCTTCTTCTCCCCCTCCCAGTTTTTGCTCCTGGGAATCAAATTTGTTTTTCAAAGTACAGTCCTGGTGCAAATTTGGTTTAAACTCACAATTTGCCATGTGAGTCCTTCATTGGAATTAGATGCCAGTGGAGGATAAATGGATTTGAAGTAGGGGGAAAGAGCAGTATAGATGGTAGAAGTTTGCCAGATCAGTTGATGGGTCATT